ATACTCTGGAGTTAGATCTATATCACCAGGAATATCCGAAAATTTTTAATCAACATAGATTTTGGGGGAGTTTTCTTTAGATCTCGTAAGGACTTGGTATTAATGTTTCTAATAAGTTCCAATAACTCGTGTATTAATGCATCTGATTGTATTTCGGAAGAAACGGTTATAGAATTTTACAAAGTAAGGCATTTTGTGTCTCAGAAGAGGATATTTTTTTGTATCAGTTCTTGGTCCTGAAAAGCAGGTTCTTTATTATTTTGTAATTGGTTTCTTTTACATGTTCTTTATTATCATATCTCTAACTTTTTTCTTTCTTTTTGATTCAGAAAATCATCTAATTTCTTATCTTCTTTTACCATCTGTTCTATTTTAGGTTTCAATTCAGAATCTCTTAACTTTGAACCCTTTGCACTTTCTTTTGCAGATTTTTCTAATTATATTATTCTAGTTATAAGCTCTGTCTCCTTAGCTTTGAATTCAGCTTTTTGAATTTGCATGTTTAAATAACTTTGAACAAATTATTTTATTATACATGTTTTAAAGATCTTTTTTTTTTATTTAATTTCTTTAATTTCAATTAAAAAATATGTATGTATGAGAATTCTTCACATCAATCATTTTTACAAAGAAAATTTAGATCATATGTATGTGAAAATTCTCAAGTAATATACATTACAAAATACACATGTAAAGTAAATTGATTATGTATACATTAAAATCAACTATTAGGGTTAGCTTTGTTAATATTGTATATAAAATAAAAAATGATAAAATATGATAAAATTAATGATTAACAAGATTGTGATAAAATGAAAATTTAATGAGTCTGTTTTGACAAATATCTGTGTCAAGATTAAGAATTAGGTGAGAGATGTCAGTTAAGATGATAGGGTAATTGGATGTATCTGCTGTGTCTATTATTTTGTCAGAAAAATTAAGATGGAAGAACATCACAATACTGATCATACTGAAGTCTTTTTCATAGATTACATCTTTTTAATATCTCTAATCATTACAATTATGTCTTCTCTACTATTGACAATAAGTGAATGAATGTGTTATCATCATTAACAATTAAAGAACATGCATGTTAGACTAGAGTATTCTATAGTTATATGCTTTTAATAATTAGCATGTATCTTATTTATTATAAATTCCTGACAGAGCATGGTCATTTTAGGAACATTGAAAATCAAGAGAAAAATGTTCAATATTTTAAACTGTTGACCATGAAGTGCTTTTGATTCTTTTGAATATTTATGTTGATATGACTCAGATATACTATAACTTAATAAGAAATTCACCATCTTATGAATATATTCCTATAAACCAATCGACTTTTTTTAAAACTAATCATTTTTAATACCTAGCATCATAGTAGAATATCTTAAAAACAGAATAATTTCATTGAAAGTGATTATTTTAAAAAATAAACTTTTGGAAGGAATAAACATTTTGCATATTTAATAGAGAATTATTTTTTATATCTTTCAAATTTATTATTCATACCTTTCTGCAGATTTAACTTTTTTTAAAACTTTGAACAAAGATAACCTTGTAACTACATGAACTATTAGATCAAATTTAATAAACTTTTTTTATTTAAATTCTATAGATTTACAAAATTCCAAAAAAAAAAATCATTGAACTTGGTCAAATAGTTGTTAAAATATCTTTGCTCAAAGTTTGAAAAAAATTAAAACATCTATCAAAACAAATTATATAAAATTTTCTTTAAATTTTGAACAAAGATAACTCAGTAACTACTAAGTCAAATTCAATAAACTTTTTTTTTTATTTGAATTCTATAGATTTATAGAATTCAAAAAAAAAAGTTTATTGTATTTGGCTTAGTAGTGTTATGAGCAGATCAACAGTCATCAACATATACAAAAAACCCAAGAGAAGTGACGAATTGTTGCTAAACAAAAATATGTCGCATAATATTTCTTAATGTATTCAGAGGTAAAATGAATTGGCACAGGTCTAAAGCAATAGTTGGATAATGTTATGAGAAGGGTTTTTAAATATGAGACACACATACTTTATTCCAGTAAAAATAATCCTTATTTATAAGAATAGTTTCAAAAATTTATCTATTATGTTAAAACATTTCTATTTTAACTAAATCTACTCTTTTTTCTTTTCATAACCTCCATTATTTCAACAGTGTTTGACATTCAAAATGCTTCCAACAATGTTTCTCATATGCAAAAGATTATGTAGATGTATGATTAAACTTGAACACAGTAACAAGTTTTTCCTAACAAGACAATATTAACCCATTGACCTGTTTTAGCCTTTATCTTTATCAATCAGGTTAACAGTAATTATTCTGAAGGCTTAATGATTACAGCAGCAGCATCAATTTGGAGCTTATTTATCATCCATTTTGAGCATTTCTTAGAAACCTGAGATGCAGGTTTACTGTTAACAGTAGTTACAAGATATCTTTACTCAAAGTTTAAAAAAAATTATGTATAGTTTTTTTTGATAAATGTTTTGATTTTTTTCAAACTTTGAGTGAATATATCTCAACAACTATTAGACCAAATTCAACGAATTTTTTTATATTTGAATTTTTGAATCTATAAAATTTTTTTAAAAAAGTTTATTAAATTCAATCTGGTAGTTATGAAATTATCTTTGCTCAAAAATCTGCAAGGGGGTATGAATAATAAATTTGGAGTATAAAAAACAATTCCTATTTAATATATCAAACCGATATCTCCTTTTTGCTGGGAACGTTTTGTCAGCAAAAAGTGTAAAAATTACTCCAATCATTCACTTTAAGAAAATAATTATTAAGAAACATGCCAAGAAACCTATTTTAAAATGTATGGAAAAAAATTTTTTAAATCGATATATTTTCGGTAGCATAGCTTTAAATAGAAATTGAACACTCAAACAATAATCACTAACCAAATAAATTATGCATGCCCTTCATTTTAAAGTTTCAACATGCTACATTTATGCATTTGTACGAATTTCAACAGTAATGTAACACTAACGTCAAGGATTCTACTAGTTCTAATAGTTCTAATTAATTCTAGTAGAAATAATAATTCAAGCCATAATATTAGTTCTTATAATAAATACTCAATTCTACTTAGATATATAAACATTAATAGAAAAAATAGAAATGTCAGCTAAAATATAACTAAGTATAACTAATAGATGTTAGTAGCGAAGGATCGTAAAATCGTAAAATGCATAAATAGCTTTAAAAATCGCTATTGTAAAATAATAAAGGAGTAATCGTGTTTTCATACACGAACAACTCGAATAGTTTATTAAACCATAACTTAACAATCCTCTAAAGAGTAATCGTGTCTTCATACACGGATAGCTCACTTAAATCATAACCCCGTTATAGTGTTCCCGTACACGAATAACTTGAGTACTTCATTGAATAAATCATAAACTTTATACGACTACTTGTATCTTCATCTACTTTTAGCCGTTTTCCTCTTAATCCTCTTAAAAACGTAACTGCAATAAATCTTGTATTTAAATCGGTGATTGTTATCAATCGTTTAATGTATCCGTCGCTAAAGTAAAACCGTTATACGGGTGTAACAGTACTATTTAATTTGTTCTTTAATCTGGAATTTTTCGGAATTTACAAGAATTTTTTGTCTCAATTTTGCTTGTATTTAGGTTTATTCATTTTCTACATCGAAACTTTTTGTAATGGCATCTTTTGACTATACCAAATCGACCGGCTAAGCCGATAATTCGCTTTAGCACTATCAACAATGGTTATATAACAAGAAAGGATATAAAAAAGGAAATACAAATATGAAGGGTAGTTGATTAATAATGTGTCCCACTTTTATTAGTAACGAAAAATTTTATAATATATTTTATTTATAATATATTAAATCAGCCAATCAGATTCGTTTTAACTATTCTATAAGAATCTACTCTGCCGCTTTAGATGTTAATTGATAATCTAGCGCTAGTACCTTTTTAACCAATCAAAGTTAATGAAAGCATAATCTATAATCGTATTATCTATATATAATAAATAAATGTCAAATTTACTATGTACGACTTAAGTTAATCATTCATTATTTATGGTTAAGAAAAACTTGTTTGGGATAATTAACTGCATACGTATATCTTAGAAGTTTCATCCTTTATATTAATTCACTCACATTTTTCACGATTAAAATTAATGAATTAAATGAAAACTTTAAGATATATGCAATTCATTATCCCGAACAGCTTAAGACAAAAATATTGATTATATAATACAAGTTTATTTTCATTTTCATTATAAATTTCTTCACGAATAAGATTGTTATCTATACAATGACTTAATGACCTCCAATCATGGCCGGTCATTTCAAGGTCATCAAAAAAATTTTTAATGGCCATTAGTATGCTTTGTCTGTTTCAGGATGATTTTACCACTCATTGAGCCTAAAACCAATTGCAGGATCACAAAACCGTTAACGATTGACTTAAGCGTTTAAATAATATCCCGTGATTGGATTTTAACGATTTTAGCCTCAATGAGACGGGTAAAATCGAAAGTTATTTCCTTTCAAAGATATAAATTAATATATAATAGTAACAATTGACACTTCTGATTGGACAACATTTTATTTCACATGACTGGACTAAATTAGTCCAATGCCGCAAAACTGATTCGGATAAATATACCTGATTCGCAGTAATAAGGTCAGGTGCGGTCCAACGTGTTAGTTTAATGTGCATGTTCGTGCTGAAAAAGTGTGGCTGACTCATCCTTGTTTATACTTATACAATATACAATTTAAATTATTGATTAAGTTCAGCCACACCCACTTTGTTATTCTCGTATTCGCTTTCATTTATTTAAATTATTTCACACTTGTCATTAATATCATTTATTAACTTAGATCTTGGGTTTATTTTGGCGATCTACTTGAAAGAACAAGATCTGTGTTTTAGTCTATGAGATCTGTGTATTTGTATTGCTACCGTCATTTAGAAAACATTATTCAACCATGAAAAATATATTTAAAGAGAAATCAAAAAATAAAAAACAGCCAGTTGAATTAAGAAATCCTCCTCGCTATGATAATACAAGACCTCCCCTACCATCTCCAAACCATTCTTATAACAACCCTTCTTTTCCTGCTCAGCAGTCTCAAAACCATCAATACCAATTTCACCCTGATCATTATACCTCACAACCATATACTCAATCGTCCTCGATAACGTCTCAATATGAAAATTATGGTAATCCTCATTCAAGAACTTCTTCAGGAGATTATACTCCTTCACTTGGCCATTCCACTTTCAGTGAAACGTCAACACGAAGTATTGATTCTGTTAGAACTTCTGCTGCTTTTTCGTCTATTGATTTACCTGGTTGGGTTGGCGGCCATCACAGAGGTGATAAAAACGAACCTACTAGGCCTTCTGATGAAGAGATTGAACGTTTGTTCTTAAATATGATGGTATAAATTGGTTTTCTCTCATGTACCATTATCGTTTAGTGGTAAATTGATCAATGATTTGGTATTAACATCCATTTTTTCATGTTAGAGAAAATTAGATTTGGGAAATCTTTCCGAGGCAATGCTGAGCATGCCAATCGAAAATAAATGGACATTAATAAAGAATAATATGCTAACGGAAGAGGTTGGATTTTCTATCGGTTGTTTTAGACTCCTTGTGGTGACTCTATTCCTTATGGTAATCAAGCGATTTATCTTTTTTAATATATTGTAGAAAACACATTCTGCTACTTCGAAGGATAATCCTGTTAACAACGCTGGTAATCCAAATACTCCAGAATATTATCTTAAAAAAATTATGGATGGAACTATAACTTTCAGGCATATGAACTCACTCAGTGTTGCTCTAAGGACATTTCCTATAACGTGAGAAACTCGTCCTGTATTGTTTTTGTGGTTAATGCATTTATGTATTTAAGACATTAAAATTTACACCAATTATTTATGAACTATTAATATCAAAGATGGGTCCGGTCTTTCATTGACGCCAAAGGCTTAGAGGTTCTTGCCAATTACCTTAGCAGTATTACAAAAAAACATGCAAAGTATGTGTAATGTTTTATCTTCATAATTGATCTTTTTTTTTTTGCACGTTCAGCTTAATAACGCTTATTTGTAAATATTTTTTTTTAATTTAGGCTAGATGCTGATTTACAAATGGAATATGAGATTATTAAATGTTTAAAATCACTGTTAAACAATAGAGTAAGCTAAATAAACATTTAAATATATAATTACATGATTATATCTTGTTTTATTTATTTATTTATTTAATTTATTTAATTTATATTTAGTGGGGAGCTCAGGAAGCTCTGACGCATCCATCATGCATTCATAGTATCACATTTTCACTTGTTTCTCCTCAACTGAACACCCGCAAATTGGTGGCCGAAGTCCTTTCTTTCTTTTGTTATTGTGAAATCCCCACCGGTCACACTCTCGTATTAGAAGGTTTTGATCAACATCAACGATTTCTTAATGAACATGGAAGGTTTGATGCATGGATGAGAGTACTGGAAAACACAATTGATGGACGTGGGCGATATGGGAGTTTGGTAGATGCGAGCGAAGAATTTAAAAAAGGAGGTATAGGAATGGATAGTTCGTTGATGGAATATGTGGTAAGAATCTTTACGCATCTTTTACAAATACTTTCTTCTCAGGAATAATTTGATGTTTCATCTTTGTAATAGTTAGCAAATATGATTCTGGTGAATTCAATAATCGGTGTATGTGATGACGTTGAAATTCGGGTACATTTAAGAAACCAACTACACGCATGTGGACTGACACGTATAATTGATGTAAGCCTTCTAATTATATTATAAATCCAGTAAATTATTTTATTTCGAATCCTATCGGTTTACAATGGTTGGTTTGGTATTTAGAAAATGAAAGCGTTGAATTACGAGCTTATTAATCGTCAAATAAGCAAGTTTGAACGTGAAAGTGAATTGGATTATGAAGAAGTCTTGGATTATTATAATCATCGAATTTTGCAGAACATGACATATCCTTTATTATATACTATTTTTTTTACATTGTATCTTTATTTTATTTATTCCTTAACTTTTTGCTTATACTGATCCACGTGATGTGTTTGAGTGTATACTTGCTTCAGTACAAGGGACACGTGCATACGACTTTTTCTTATCTGCTATGCAACATATGTTGCTTATTCGGGATGATGGCGAGGCTAGGTTTGACTCACTATTCAAAAGAAATATGGGGGAATTTATAGAAAGAGGATAAATTTTTTCAATTAAAATTTTTTATATCTCAACAACTATCAAACCAAATTCAATTAAAATTTTTATTAAAATTATGGAATAAATGAAAATATATATATATAAATTTAGTTTGATAGTCGTTGAAATATTTTAAGTTAAAAAGATCTAAAAAAGATTTGTCCTCTTTCTACTGATTCCTCCATACACTAATAAGGTTAATAAAAATATTAAATTGAGGATACTAACATTAAAATACATACTGTAGAACGAAGTATTTCCAGCTTATTGATTCCTTGATCACGCAGGTTGTTCTTGATCGTCATGGGCTTGACCAAGACTGGAGTCAGTCTGTGGGTCTCACCGTTTCACAGGTCCTTGCTAAGATGGTCGATCAAGATAAACTCAATGCTGCTCTTCAAGAAGCAGAGGAAGCTAAAGCCGCTTTAGCAAAAGTTTTACGTGAGAAACAAGAGTTTACGTCAAAACAGGAAGTGTCATCCGATACAGGTGGCTTGCACTATATTTTTATTTGGATATTACTATACGCATTTTGAACATTAATGTAATAACCATTTCGCTCACATTTTAGGCGGTGAATTAAAAAATAAAATTGAATCACTCGAAGAACTCTTACGCATCTCTCGGCACACCATTAAGACACTTCAACAACGAAACGCAGATCTGGAAGCCAGTTATCGTGAAAAACTAGCTGAGTTGACTGTTCAACTGCGTGAACTTGAGACAATAATAAAGGAACAACAAGGACATGGGACTGATACTACTGTTGATCGAACAGAACTTATCAAACAATTAGAAAGAATGCAGAAAATACGTGAAACGGAAAGAATATTGGAAGGGGATCGAAAAGTTTGGACACCACCTTCATTTGGAGATTTAAAGGTTTGTTATAATGAAGTCTAATTACCGGTTCTAGATTTTTATAATTATAATGATGTGATTATAGTTTAATTCTTATCTTTAATATTGCTATAATTATAAAATTTATTTAGGTAATGCTATTAAAAAATATCAGTAATCCAATTTTATAGTTATTGACATTTGACTCTTTAATTTAGATGCCAGATGCAAATGAATATATTGGTAATCTGAGCAGTCAGAGTGCAGTACCGCAATATCCTGATTATGATAAAGCCAATTTTACCGGTGGATTCAGAATTCCCGAACAACCTCCACGAATGGATGCTGATGTTTTAAAAGAACTTAAACAACGTCATGATGGTATATTTGGTCATACATCAGCCAGTGAACATTCAAATGAACAATCTCAACATCCACCTGCATCAATTTCACAAACCTCATCTACTCCTGATGTAACGTCTAAGATACAACAACCTCAACCCAGTTTACCTGCTGAATCTGGCTCAACAGTTTCACAGACGACTGATTTGCAGACCACAGAATTGGAAAATTCATCGTCTCAACCTTCAGCCGCATCCCCATCAGTTTCTTCAAAAATGACATCACCATCACAGTCTTCGAACATACCACCACCGCCTCCACCACTGGTCACACAATCTTCGAATATACCACCTCCTCCTCCACCACCAGCCACACAGTCTTCGAACATACCACCACCTCCTCCTCCACCGCCATTCACACAGTCATCGAATATACCACCTCCTCCTCCACCACCAGCCACACAGTCTTCGAACATACCACCACCTCCGCCACCACCAGGAAAAACTGGTGGCCCACCACCGCCGCCACCACCACCAAGTAAAACTGGTGGCCCACCGCCACCACCACCACCACCAGGAAAAGTTGGAGGTCCACCACCACCACCGCCACCACCAGGAGGAAAAGCCAGAGGTGCCGGAGGTCCACCACCACCACCAGGAAAAGCTGGAGGTCCTCCACCACCAGGAGGTTTTCGAGCACAGGCAACTTCAAGTTAGTATTACTAAGGAGTTTGACATTTGCACATCTCTTTGGTATTGCCACACCTTTGCAAATGTTACATTATATGTTTGTAGCATGTGATGCTAAATTGGATGTATTTATGATCGCACAATGTGTCGTTTGCAAGTGTGTCAATACCAGTTCCTTTTTTGTCTATTTTATAACAATTAACTATGCGCCTCAATTCGTTGCGTACCATCATTTTCTATTTTGTAAATTGGGTATTGTTGTATAGATAATCGTAAAGAAGTCCCATACATGACTATGAAGAAACTTAAGCAACTTCAATGGGATAAGATTAATTATCTGTCTATTAATAAAACATTCTGGGGACAAGGAAATTTGAGTGATGAAGAGCTAATTAAGTTACTTGGTGGAGAATCTGACGTTTTTGGTAACATTGAACAATTATTTGAAGCTTATGAAGCTAAAGAAAGTATGTTGGCTTTGTCATTTAGTAACTAGATTTTTTATGCAGTTTTTTTTTCTTTATTAATTTTCCGACGTCATGTTTACTTTCTCAGGAAAGAAGGTTGAAAAGAAGGAAGAAATTAGTGTTTTGGATCCAAAGAGAGCTTATAATATTAGTAAGAATATTTGTTCGTCTCTTACCTTTGATATGTATAATTTGATCCGTTATTAATTGTTTTCTTGTTGAAGATGTGGCACTTGGTCGTTATAAAGATGTATCATTTGTGGAAATACATCAGAAGATTGTCGGTTTTGATACACTCTTCTGTACTGAGAATTTACTTAATCAATTAATGTTATATATTCCAACACCTGAAGAAGTATGTTATTAAATAATGCATTTTAAAGAGCGCATTTAATAACTATTCTCATATTTTTTAGCGTGGTAAATTGTCAGTATATAAAGATGGTCCTGAAGACATGCTCGAAAATTTGGCTCGTGCTGATCGATTCTTTGTCGAGGTTTGATAATAATAATAATTGTTGACTTTCGTTGATATTCGGTTCAAAATACTATTATACTTTTAAATTAATAGGTGATGAAGATTCATCGATACGAACAACGCCTTAAATTTATGTATTTCTACGTTACTTTTGACGAGAAATTCAGAGATTTGGAACGCGTATGCAATCATAAGAATTCTCTTATTAGCATGGAGATTTGGTTGTTAAATAAATTTATAAATATATTTATTTTGTAGGATATTGTATCAGTATTGAATGCATCCATAGCACTTAAAGAATCAGAACATTTTAAAGAATTGTTAAATGTAAGGATTATATATATGGCGAGTTTTAAACCTTTGAACTCTATTTGGCTAAAATTTCTTTCATTAATTTGTCCAGCTTATTTTATTAATTGGAAATTACATGAATGGATCTGGTAATAAAGGAGGTGCTTACGGATTTAAGATTCAAAGTATTAATAAGGTTGCGTAATTCTTTATAATCATTGTTGTTGCTTGTGCTGAAATTTGTGATCCCCTTTGGAAAGTATGAACCATACTAAGTCCAATATACTTTTTATTAACAATACCATTCCTAAATTTTTAATTAAACAATAAAAAAGGCTAAAAAAGATAGATTCCAAAATTTTAAAATTTCATATGAATAAGTCCAAATTTCAGCATCTGCCGTAAAAATTATTCATAGATTAGTAATTTTGAGCTGTGATACTGATATTTCCTTTCCAAATTTGAAATATCGATTGTAATATAGCTCGTGGATACTAAAGCTGCGAAAAGTTCATCAATTACTTTATTGCATTTTTTGGCCGATACAGTTGAAACTAAATTACCTAATATGTTGAGTTTTGTTGATGAGATAGCGGAATGTGGGTCTGCTTGTAGAGGTATGATAAATTTTATTTCGAACCTTGCAACACAAGATCATATAAGTTTATTGTTTTATAATTTTATTTATTTTATCACTTTTTTAGTATCACAACAAGAAATGACAAATGAATATCGGCAAATGGGGACCCTGTTAAACGATTTAGCAATTGAATTACAGAAACATTTTGGAGATGAAGTTGAATTAGAAAATAATGACAAATTCCCTGAAATAATGAAAGAGTTTGTTGTAATGTCACAAAAAAAATTCGAAGATTTACAGATGGAATATACTTCTATGGAAGTTGCTTATAAGGATGTTGTAGCGTACTATGGTGAAGATTCCAAAAACACTAAACCTGATGAATTTTTTGGAATATTTAAGACTTTTCTCACTAGTTTTGAGGTATGTTTGTATTATTATTATTTTCCAACTCCAAGTGGGATAATTTATTGGAAATGTAAAGGCCAAAAAATTTTATCGATTCCATCAACTAATAATCCGAGACTTTTAGCCAATTGGCATTATCAAACAAATATTTATTGTGAATTAATGACCGAATATTAGCGCAATCGTTTTTTAGTTATAGTTATTGATAATATAAAGAAAAGTTAGAATATGTAATATTTATTTTTAATATTAATACATTCATTACAGCGGGTGAGAACTGATAATAAAGCTATAAAAGACCGTGAATTAGCTGCTAAAAAGCGAAAAGAGGTAATTTTATACTCTCAGACTCAATTACTTATCACGTTAAACATTTAATTTATTTAATATCTACTTTTTAAACACACAGGAAATTGAACAGCGAAAGAAATTGGCTAATAAGCCGAGCACAGGAGTGCAAATGACAGCTCAATTAAATCCATCAGATGAAAAACATTTAATGGATAATTTATTGGAAAAATTGCGTGATGGTGGAGATTTAGAGACTCGAGCAAAGAGGCGTGGTGGAAAAGGTGACAAAGAGGGAGGAGACCTAAGAGTTTCAAGAAGTATGAGTATCGCAATTAGGGCTGAAGATATACTAAAAAGATTGAAAGAGGATTCTGGCAATGTACCCTTACCACCGTTGCCAGAAATGCCGAAAGAAATTGTTGCAGAATAATACTACCTTAAATGTATTCAATGTTGACATTTTAGCGCTCCATTGGCATTTTAACCTGCTCCAGTCCTTTGCTCGATTGGGAGCTTTTAATATTAAACCTTAATTTTATCTAATAATATACATATTTAAATGGTTACAGATTATTTGAAAAAAAAACAATTTGATATGTAAGAAAATACTTTCTTGTTCCATTCCATAGTAAATGCACAGTGTACTAACACTGGCCATATTGGAATATTACGGAAATTGATGATAGTTGTTTAACATTCATAATTTTGGGTATTTATATTATTAGTTCATTCATATTTGGTGTTGATTTTGTACAAAAATTATCACAACTTACAATTATTATTCCATGCAAATGTTATTATATTTTATATTGATTATTTAATTATTGATTTGATTTGTATATAGATAACCTTTATTTGGTGATTATGATGTATACATTTACTGTACTAATATACACACAGAAAATACACATTATACCTACTGTGCTATATACACAGAAATCGTATACAAATAAATTTTAACTGAGGTAGTATAAAACGTTTAAATAAAATTTACCTGCATTTACGTCTTCGAACTAGTAGTGTTTGTGGTCGATCTTTATTTATCGACTTGACTAAGTTGATATTTAAAACTCGGCTTGGCGACTATGTTCGAGTCTATGCCTGATTACAGGTCAAAATCCAGAAAATCTAACCAAACTTAATTATCTCGTCGGCGACATAATATTTAAATACCACTGATGATGAGAAATAATGATTACTAAGTTTTAGGATTTTGGTTTTTTGGATCTGCCGTAACATAGTGCCATGCTGTAAAACGATATTGATTATTGACTTTATTTTTATTTTGGTGTTTGAAACTTATAATTGCCAATTGTATCAATTTCCTATAATCGTGAATTATTGGTTGATCATGATTACAAGAAAGCGAAACATTCATGTAATTGTTTTTTCATCAAGTAAATCTAGAGATGTTAGACCGTCTGGTCTAAATCGTTGGACACAGTTGATCTTAAGACCAGCCAGGAACTGTAAAAAATTAGTCTTAAGATCGGACCAGTCTGAACCGGTCATTAAAGACTGATCCAAAATGAACCAGACGGGGCTGTTAACATTCCTAAGTAAATTTTTCTGCCTTTAATAAAAATTGTAAAGATCCGAGTATAATAGTGGCTGAACCTTTAAAATCGGCAAGATATGAACAAAAAAGTAAGATATAATCATGAAGATAAATATGCTTATATCTCTCAACTATAATTATACTTGGTTCTTTTTTATTTACAATTTTTATTAGTAGCAGAAGAAAATTTTACTTAATAAAAAAATAAATTATGTTTGAAAATGTTAGGTTTTAAAAAAGATAGTATACAGTCTATAAGGTCATACAAACTAAAAAAGAGGTTTTCATAACCCTTCCGAGTCAAAATTTACAAAATTCGAAAAAATTTCAAGCATACTTACTATCCGGGAAAGTTTTTTTAAAAAATATATAAAAAATTTTGTTTTTTTATATATAAAATTTGACAATAAAATTAAAAGTCAGGTTGCCGGGTCACTTTTGAAAATTTATATTATGAAAACTGATTTATTAAGTTTGTATGGTCTAATGTTTTATTTATATATAAAGACTAGCTGCGAACCGTTGCTACACAACGGAGAAAAAAAATAGTATTAAATACAATTATAAAAACCTATACAATTAGTATTTAATTAAACTTTATTAAATTGGATATAATTCTAGTAAAATTTTTAGTTAATTTAAGTATTAACAAATTACGAATATTTTAGTTACACAATTGTATTTATTTATATAGAGTAATCTAAGCGTTACCTTGCAGCTAAATGTTACACACAAATTTTTTATAATATAGTATAGAAGTATAGATATAGATTTATTATATGGCCTCACCGTTAATATTAAAAAAAAAAAAGATTTATTATATGGCACTTAAGAGAACCAATATTATTATATAAATATAGTTTCTTTCTTAGATCTAAATATTTAAAAAATTTTATAAAAAATAATATTTATTCACTGGCAATTATTAATTATGCAACACATAATTTTTATAATAAAAACATAGTAACTATTGAAATATTTATTATAATAAAAATTTTTAGAAAAAAATTTTTATAACAAAGATTTCTAAGGTTGAAACTCTAATAAAAAATTTTTATAATACTTATAAGATTGTTTTACTAGGGTTTTGATCTTGAAATAATTTTATTAAAATTTTTAAAAAATTTGAAAAAAATATTTTTTAAAAACTACAATTAATGAAATTTTATTTTAACAAAAAAAAAATTATTTTTAAATTTTTTTTTGATATTAAGATGAGGTTTTGCTTATATCTATTAATTTGTAGATGTCTTCAGAAGCTTCTCTGAATATAATTTAATTACAAATTTATTATAAAAGTGAAGCTCAGACTATAAAAAAATTATCTAACTAATTTATTTGCAACTTAAACCTATTAGAATAATTAAAACTTGCCTATATTTGTCATTCTTATACAATATAAGTAAGTTTTAATCTGAATTGTATAAGTATTTTATAAAGAATCTATAAAATATAGATAATATGTAATTTGTTTGATATAAATATAAGAAATTATTAATTATTTGTATTAATATGTTTATATATAAGTAGGATAGTAGAATAAAGAATAATTATAGTTAATAAATAGTTATTATTACAAAAAAAAATATAAAATTTGTTAGTATTGTTATCATTTAGAAATTGGTATTAAAAAGATTTTATAAAAACTAAATAATTAAAAATCTAAAAGAAAAAAGAATTTAATATTGTTAATATTTTAAATTATAAAAGAAAAGATATATAGAAATTTTTGGTATATTAATATTTTTAGAAATATATTATATTGCTTATAATAAGTAAGATTGATAATATTTAAATTGAAGTTTAAAAATTAAAGTATTTAATAATTATATAATATCAAAATATATTATTATTTAAACAAAAGTATATAGATTAGTTGTTTTAGTAAAGGTATTTTGAAGAATATTTTTAAGCTTGGAGTTGTTAATATTATTATTTTTAACTACTATATTTAAATAGTATTTAATATAAATATAATAAAAAAAAAGATATATATATTAAAATTTGTAATTAAATTGTTAAGTTGTATAAATTATTGTTTAGTAATTTAGACAAGTTGTATAGGAGTTTTAAACAAAAAAGATTTGATAAAAGTTGTAGTAAAAGATAAATTTTGTTAAAAAATAAAAAAATCTAAATTTGAATAAATGTAATTAGAAAAATTAAAAAAAAATTTAAAAGAATTTAGAAAATAAAAAAGATTAAGTTATAAAGATATATGAAATATTATAAAAAAAATATTACATTTATTATTTGTATATATATAGATATAATATAATAAAGCTTTAATTAAATTTGTTATTTTTTTTTATAATGAGTTAGCTATAAAAAATGAATAAAACTTTAGAAAAAGTTTTTTAAATTTAATTATAAGGAAAATAATTATTTGGTATTTAATAAATTGTAAACTTTTTATTTATCAATATGTAAGAATTGCTTAGTATAAGGATTAAAAAATCTTAAAAACCATGTATTAAAAAAGTTTGATATATTTTGAAAGTAGAAATATAAAAGGTTTTAAAAAATTTTTTGTAAAAATATCAAATATAATATAAATATTTTATTTAGTATTTTTTAATTTTAAATTAGTGATATTAAATATTATACTAAAATATAGAATTATTTAAATAAGTTTAAGATCAAAGTCTTTAAAAAATTTAATATAATTAATAGTTTTATATTTATTATATAAGAAAAATGTAACTAAACAAGATTAATTATTATTTAAAAGCATTTAGAAATAAAATATAATGGTAAAAAGTAATATGAATAAAATATTTTTTTTGTAATTAAGTTTTGTAAAAAAAAACAGTTATAAAGTTGAATAAAATATCTTTAATTGACAATTCATGATAGAAAGAGAATAAAAACCAAAGGAGATTTTTATAATAAAGTATATTAAAATATATTAATACAGAAACATGATTCCTATAGTTTATAGAAAAAATTAAATGGGGTGTGGAAACCTAGTAAAGTGGATAGGTTGTCAATTCCCAAGTGGCAGGTCTAAGGTTCAATTCTTATGAACGATGAATTTTGGAAATTATATCTGTGTTATGGTAACTGTCTCTACCGATCGGTTGGGTTTTGGGCATCTGTAATCTTAGGTACACCAAGTCAGGCCCCACCTGACATTGAGAGCTCAGGGCATCTATGCAAAGTGTAATGTTACACAGTACATGTATATAGAGGAATGTGAAAAACCAATGTCGTATAAGGCTTTGGTGCAAACCCATGATAAAACCCCCAGGCATAGAAGGCTAAGAAACTAAAGAGACAAAAACTCACTTGGAAATCCCAAGTAAAGAGGTAGCACAAACTTTTGATAGTGCCATTGGACTGATGGAAGCCCATGAAACACCTTCATAGAAACTGTCAGATAAACCAGATGACAAGATGTGTAGAGGAGCATATGACCAACCAAGCCACCAGAATTACTAGAGAAAAAGGATATATAAGTATACCATACTGGGCTATCTGAATTGGGAGTCTGGGGAGTCAGATAGTTCTAAGTTGTGACTAGTAGGGGATGATGGAGAGGAAGTTAGAAAAATGAGTACCAGGATTTGGATAAATTTTACAAAAGTTATAGCAGTTTAAGGGGTAACTCTGACTGCGGTTTAAGAGGTAACTCTGACTGTAAATGTTGGCCTCGGTCATAGCATCAAACCAGGTTAGCAGTAAAAGGGAATATGGCTTGCTCTGGTAGGTTTACCTCGAGGATAAAAATAGTTTAAGAATTATAGTCCTATGGTTGAATGTGAATATATCTGGGTCTGTAATCTGGTGAAATTAATACTAGGGTTAGATCAGAGAGTTTAAATGGAACATCTAAGCAAAGGTGTTAGGTATAGCAACTAGTAGGAAACCCT